AATGGGGTTTTGCCTTGCTAAAATCTACTTTATTAAAAAATTGAAGTATAGTTTACATACAATGTTATATTAGTTTCAGGCGTACAACACAGTGGTTTGACAATTCTATACATTATTCAGTGCTCTCCATGATAAGTGTAGCTACCATCTGTCACCATACAACGTTATTACAATATTGTTGACTATATTCCCTATGCTGTACTTTCTATGAGTTGTTTATTGTATAACTGGATGTTTGTATCTCTTAATCCCCTTCATCTGTTTCACCCATTCCCCCACCCACCTCCCTTCTGGTAACCACCAGTTTGTCCTCTGTATTTAAGAGTCTGTTTGTAGAACCTACTTTTTTATATTTGATGTAACTAGAAGTTTACTCTCTCTCCTCTTTGGTATAATATGGCACTGCCTGTCTCCTGATTCTAGAAATAATTTGATTTCTCCATTGGCTTTTATCATTCATAGGAAACAACTGAAATTTATGCCCATTGACAAAATTCAGCATTAGCTTATTTCATTGGCTGCATCAAGCTTGACTTTTCTTTGATCTGTCTTCCTTTTTCTGTCTTTTATTTCTCTAACTCTAGGCCTTTTTTTTTTTCTATCCCTCCACAGTTTTCCCATGTAACTTCTACAGTCCAGAAGATCTTTTTGATGATTCTTAGACACCAACTCCATATCTATTTACACCTGTTACATGGAGCTGTCTTGTCCCTGGAGCCTTTTCTGTTTCTCTCTTCTTACATATTGTATTTAGGATGTAATTATCATGCTGCAAAATGGTTTAACATCATTTTGTGTTTTAAAAAAAAAGCAATCAAGTAAAAGTTAATTTATTTCAAACAGCAATTTTGAATCATTAATGACTGCATGGAGATTAGGTCCTAATTTTCTCACCTTACTCAAATATTTATCTCTAATTTTTCTCCTGCCAAAGTCTAGAATTTCAAAGTGTCTTTCTTCAGTAATTTAATTAGGCCACAAGTTTGAGGCTTAATGATGGATCAAAAAAATGTATGATATGCTTGAGAGATCAAGACAGCAAATTGATTACTGTTGTAGCAAAGGTTGGCAAATGTGGGAGAAGGAGCAGGTACTGCCCTGTGCTGCAGGATCTGAGTCAGCGATCAAGGTCAGCCTCAGTTCATTAACTTCCTCTGAGGGCTTATAGTCATTGTAAATATGACTTCTCATACCTTATATTCTAATTATAATACAGTACAGTTTTGAAATGACTTATGTTCACTTCAGTAATGCCGTAGACTGATGTAGGATGTTGAAAGATCTACACTAGTGTAAGCTAATTTCTGGTCATTTTGCCTAGTTTTCTAGTGCCTGCCAATAGAAAATCTCACCCCTCAAGATGTGTGTTAATAAATGTGTCCTCATCCATGGGCGCACATCAGGCAGGGCCTGCTCTTAACCTAATTATCTAAAATGGTCATCTGAAAAAAAAAATAAAGTGGTCATCTGTTTTAATACAGGGATTCTCATTGTGCTCTCAGCTGATACATTATTAAAAGTTGGAATGTATTTCATGCTAATTTTTTAAGACCTCACAATCAAGGAATGTATTTTCTCAATAATTCTAATAACCATTTCATTCCTATGTTTAGACAATACCATAGGTTGTTTTGACCATAAATTGCTAGTAAGCCCACTTTTAACTGACTTTTTAAATATTTCACATGAAGCAAAATGGTAAATCACTTTAAACTTAACAGTTTTTATGAAATCTAGAATGAAGATAACATTTTGTGCATCTGCTTCTTTGTATAATAACTTGGTTTGGGGTTCTGCATGTGGCTAACCTAACTGTATTATGAGACAGGATTTTTTTGTTTAAGGATTTCCTAGTGTACTTTAGAAATTCTCAACACCAGCCTTCATAAAGAAACACGAAATCCGAAAAACCAATATACTTTTTCATTTGTTATATGGATGCTAAAGACCATTTGAGAAGCAGAGAGTGGTATTAGTGATAAGATTATGAATTGGCGTTTTTTAAAGCTAAGGATATTTGTGGATATCATACAATTTTTTCCTAATCTCATTTAAGATAGATTGTGTTCCTTTCAATTTCTGTAAGTTGATTTTAATAAAGGTGAAATAATTAACATTCATTTTTCTAAGTATTAATTGGATATTCCATACATTGAATTTTATAAGGCCTTTAATGAATGGAGGTACCAGACTTACCGTTCTACCTGAAACACACTGGACAATTACATGATACAGTGGCTTTCACGGTATTGGGTATCAGTTAGTTAAGGACAGTGATCCCCAAGAGATGGGAAACAAATGAAGTGAGTCCCACAGTTGTACTGGCTCATAGCCAATACATATTCTGGGGAGGGGAAGATCCAGGTGGAGCACAGCAGTCTCTCTGAGTGGAAGAGATGAAGCTGGGAGTCTGGGGAGGCCAAGGTGTATGGTATGCACAGAGCAGAGTACCAGAGAGGAGACAGCTGCACGGAGAGAGAACTCCAGAGATCTGCAGAGATCTCTAGCCTTCAGCTGAGAACTGCTCGGCACATGAGAAGCTACCCAAGGCCCAGGAAAGAACCACCTAAAAAGAGGGAATTATTCACTGGAACTCACACAGGGCTGCAAAGAAGTTTCTATTCCCACCAGCCACAGTGGAAAAAATCTTATCATTTACAGGCAAATGGGGAGAATACTCAGAAGGATTTTGTCTCCACAGCGGGGCAAAATTTTTCCTTGACTATTTTCCAGGCCTGCCTAACAAAGCTTAAAAGCACATCATAATCAAATTCCTAAGCTTTTTACACTATATATGACGTGTTATAATATTCCTTAAGGGCAGACTTTGATAAGTACAAATATATGATATAAACCCTAAAGTAACCACTAAAATACCAAAGATTTATATAGCTGATAAGCCAACAAATGAGATAAAAGGAATCATAAAAATATTCAATCCAAAAGAAGTCAGAGAGAGAGAAAAAAAAAAGGGAACAGAAACCATATGGACAAATAGAAAACATATAGCAATATGGTTGATTTAAAACAGAATCATTATTAAATATAAGTGGCCTAATACCCAATTAAAAGACATAAATTATCAGCTTGGATAAAAAAGGAAGATTCCACTGTATGCTTCCTATCAGAAACCCACTGAAACATAAAGACGCAAATAGGATAAAAGTAAAGGTATGGAAGTAACAATAACACTGGTCAGAAGAAAACAGCAAAGGTTATATTAATAGACAAAGACTCCAGAAGAAAGAATATTAGTACAGAATAAGGGAACATTCGTAGTCTAAGGGTGCTAATTCATGAAGAGGACCTATCAATTCTAAATGTTTATGTGCCTGATTACAGAGCTTCAAAACCTATGAAACAAAAATGAGCTACAAGCAAAATTAGCCTAACACAGAATTACAGTTGGAGATTTCAACATCCCTCTCTCAATGATTGATAGAATAGACAGAGAATCAACAAGGACATGGAAGACTTGAGTAACACTAATAGCCAACTTAGTCTAATTGATATCTATCTATCATCTGTCTGTCTGTCTATCTGTATATGTCTCTTTCACCACCACCAGCTGAACCACCTTCTTTTCAAGGCATACAAAATATTTACTATGATAATCCATATTCTAGACCATAAAGCAAGCCTCAATAAATTTAAAGAATTTAAATCATACAAAGTATGTTCTCTGACCACAATAAAATTAAATTAGAAATCAATAACCATACAATATTTGGAAGAATCCTCAAATATTTGGAAACTAACACTTCTAAATAACTAATGGATCTAAGAAGAAATTAAAAAATCAGAAATTATTTTGAACTGGGTGAAAATTAAGACACAACATATCAGAATTTGTGGGATGTACTAAAGCAGCACTTAGAGGAAAATTTATAGCATGAAAATGCCATGTTAGAAAATAAGATCTCAAATTAATCATCTCAGCTCCCATCTTGATAAACTAGAATAAGGATCAAAGTGTAAATCAAATAAATAAAAACAGAAAAACAATAGAGAAAATCAATATAAGTATAGTTTTATAGTTTTGACACTAAAAGTATGGTCCATAAAAGAAAAAATTGATAAGTTGAACTTCATCAAAATTAAGAACATCTGTTCTTATATTGATACTATTAATGGAATGCCAACACTAGGAGAAAATATTACTGAAAGCCATACATTGGGAGAAAATATTTCAAATCATATATCTGATAAAAGAATATGTAAATATATGAAAACTCAAAACTCAATAATAAGAAAACCGCCAAAGAAAAATTGGGCAAGTGATTTGAACAGATTTCACTGAAGAAGAAATACAGATGGCAAATAAGCACATGCAAAGATGATCACCATCAGCAGTCATTAGGGAATTGCGAATTAAAACCATGAGATACCACTACATATTTAGTAGATTGTCTGATATTGAAAACTACAGACCATACCAAGTTTTGACAAGAACATAGAGCAACTAGAGCTTGCATACACATGACTGGAGAGCTAGTATCACAGAAAAACTTTAGAAAACAATTTGACAGTTTCTTAAAAGATTAAACATATACCTACCATATGTCCTAGCCATTCCACTCCTAAGTATTGAACCAAGAGAAATGAAAGCATGTGTCCACCCAAAGACTCATACATCAAAATTTAACAGTGGCTATATTTGTAGTAGCCAAGAACTGCAGACAACTCAAATGTCCATCAAGTCAGTGGGTAAACAAATTGCTGTTCATCCATAAAATGGAATACTATGTAGGAATAAAAAGGAATGAATTTTTGATAAATGCAGTAACATGGTTGGATCTCAAATAAATAAAAGGAACCAGACCAAACAAATGCATACCGTATGGTTTCATTTATATAAAATTCTAGAAAATGCTAACAAATTTATGGTAATATAAAACCAATGAATGGTTTCCTGGATATGTAGATGGGGTGAGGGGAGAGATGATCCCAAAAGGGCATAAGGAAATCTTTGGCAATGATGGATATGTTCAGTATCTTGATTGCAGTGATGGTTTCATAGGTTATACATATATCAAAACATTAAATTGTCTACCTTAAATATGCACAGTTTCTTGTATGTCAGTTAAACTGTTAAATTTTCAAGGATGGCAGTGTATACCCTCACTCTAAATTCTGTTCAACAATGCTGTTTTGAGGGGGGTTTTTGTTTGTTTTGCTATTTTTAGATTTTTAGTTTAGTGTTCCAGTTATTCTAGTAGTTCTTTCACCTGGAAGTAAACATTATCTAGCCACTGTACTTGCCTTCTTTCCAAACCCATCACTATTTTTATTTTATTATCTTTAAAGATTTTATTTATTTATTTGAGAGAGAGAGTATGAGCAGAGGGAGAAGCAGACTCCCGGCCGAGCAGGGAGTCCAGCTCAGGGCTCGGGATTCAATGCGGGGCTCCATCCCAGGACCCTGGGATCACGACCTGAGCTGAAGGCAGATGATTAACCAACTAAGCCCCCCAGGTGTGCCAACCCATCACTATTTTTAATGAGAAAACCAAATCCAGGGCATTTTGATTCTGTACTAATCCAATAAAATGGATATATTAAGAAACATGTAATACCTACTAAATGGGTAATCTTTTGTCTTACATTTCTACATCCTATAGTAAAATGAACATTAGGTACTGTATCTTTGAATGTTTAGGTTAGTGTTTTGCTTTTGGACTCTAAAATACAGACTCAAAGGGGCGCCTGGGTGGCTCAGTCGTTAAGCGTCTGCCTTCCGCTGAGGTCATGATCCCAGGGTCCTGGGATGGAGCCCCACATCGGGCTCCCTTCTCCATGGGAAGCCTGCTTCTCCCTCTCCCACTCCCGACTGCTTGTGTTCCCTCTCTCGCTGTGTCTCTCTCTGTCAAATAAATAAAATCTTTAAATAAATAAATAAATTAATTAATTAAATAAAATACAGACTCAAATCCTAAACATTAAAAAAAAAAAGATTACCTCCCAAATTCACCAGTTCTGGCTCTTGTATGTTTGGTGAGCTATACACACCCATTCTGCCATCTTATTCCTTGGAAGTCCTGCTTGGACATTGTATTTTAAAATCTGTATTACAAAGTCTTTTATCCTTTTATTAGTTTAGTACTTTAAGCCTTAGACATAAGAAAGAAGACTATCAGTGAAAATCAATTGAAATGTAGTTAGATAAAGATCTGTTGTACTAGGCAGAAGGCTTAGTTGCAGCACAATATAATCAATTAGGACCCTCCAGCTGCATACAGAGTTTTACCCAGCCAATCACTTTTCACACGTTTCCTCCATTAGCTTGACTAGAGTTCTTTTTTTTATGTGAATTATGATGAATGAGATTGTTGTTATGAATAGAGAGATGGGTCATTACCCTACAGAAACCAGACTGTGCCGGCGTTTAGTGATTAGGGCTTTCTGCTCCTGCTATCAATAAAGTATAAATTTATCTGTCTCAAACTGCGATTGGGAAGCTGTAGTCATTGCTGTCTAATTCGGTTAACAATGTTATAATCGTAAATTGTTTTTGTTCATCTGGATAATTTACATAACTTTTAAGTTAGTTGCAAGGGTGAAGCAATATAATTTATCAAATAGCAGTGGGATATTTTTCGTGGCTTAAAATCAAATAAATATCCCTCAGGAATTAGTACTCCCAAATTTAGCAATCTGGGTATAGCCCCAAGATGTCAAAAATTGGAAATAATGAAAGAAGTTTATATATCCTACATGAAGATGCTGGAGGTTTGCAAAGTAATGAGCATTAGCTTATTACAGAAGTGCTGTAGTTTGTTAAATTCTAAAAATTAAGTGACTACTGTTTTCCTGGGCTTGGGTTGAGGAATTCAAGAGGTAGGAAAGAGTTGTGGGTTAATGTGCTAAGTGACTGAGATGGGTTGCAGGTAGATTGAGCCAATCAGCCTAACATTAGCACATTTTATGGAGAAAAAAAATCAATCCTTAGAGCACCTCTACCAGGGTAGATTAGTAGAAAAGGTCCTGCTATAAACTATTGAATTGTAAGTAAATATAGTCTTTTTTTTTGCTCTTAAAATAGTATTTTATTTTGTTTTGATTTTTGTTGTTATTTTAACTTTTTCCTATTCCTGTCTCCTATTGTCACAGAAAATGACGTGTGTGTGTGTAGAATATTGTACATACTCGGCCCTCCCAGATATCAGCTCATGGATAGCAAAATTGCATTGTCTGCAGCTATGAATAATTTTAATGTTGTATGGAAAGGCAGGAAAGGTTGCCTGATTGTGGTGGATACCAAAGAAAAGCCCAGTAGAGATGCTGTTCTTGGAAGTCTAACGCTAAAGCATACCAGCCTTTGAGGTCAATTGATGAAAAGACCTTTGTGTTTTGTGCCATGAGGATGGGGGAGGGGTGCTCAATACTAGAAGAGTCAATAAACACCAGGAGCTGTGCTCATCTTGTAGCTTTAGTAAGCTTTAATCTGTAAGCTTGATTACCTCCTAACCCTCTGTCTCTTGCCTCCCCCTTCAAGCACTGTGGGGGCTTTATGGTGGTATTAGTGGCATTTTGCCCAACATTGGCTTTAAGGAAATCATTCTAGGGAGAAGGAGAAGCAGAAAGACTGGATCTGTCTGTTGTGTGAGGTCATTAACACAAGAATAACCTTCTGAGCTGTGGAGGGTAGGCGGGATGTCTGTCCTTGCTAGAAATTTGCAGGTGAAATGTCACTGTCCTTTTGTTGAAGCCCAACTTGGTCCAGGCCTGGGGGCATATACATCATCTGGAAGAGCTCACTTTTGATACTTCCAGCAGGAAATCCAGTAATACATCATGGAGAGCCCTTTGTATTTGCTGCGAGAGTTCATAAAAACATGTTTGCAAGCTGTAGCTATCTAGGATTTTTTTTTTTTTTTTTTAAGAGACACTTAACTTGCACGGAGTTGCTATGGAATTAATTCTCAGTATTGAGAATTTTCTAGTGTCTGAGACCAGATTCAGTGCTCCCTGGTTTGCCAAACGTCATTAAGTCATTAGTGTAGGAGACTTGTAGTGAGGGACCGATTAAAAGCTCAGAGAGGCCTTTGTACATTTTTATATTAATCCCAAGAGCTTTACAATATTCTCTCTTTTTTTCCTAATGAGTAGTCTGAGAAGATATATTATTTCATTTAAAAAACCTTGAAAGATAAATGAAGACAGAAAATGATTATGGCCACAGATAAGAGATCAAGCTATTCAGCCAACAAGCTGTATTAAGTAAATACTGAGCCAATATACTGTTAGCCTGGGAGCCACTGGGTAGAAATAATGTGGTTTGAATTTGGACCCTGTTTTGTCAGAGGATGCGAGAGAAACAGTGAAAGTTGTCATGTGCCCCCAGGTATCACCAAAGAACAGGTGTGCCTTACAAGTATGAGATAACTCAGGGCTCTTACAGCAAGTGATGGGCCTTGATGGCCAGTCTCGGCTGATGCTTGCTACTTTTATCAGGAGCATTGGTCCCATGCTGTGTGTCCATGCAGTGGACCAAACAGCAACAGTCCAACCTCATAGATGGCTTTGCCCACAGTTAGCTTTGTACTTTAGGCACAGAATAAAATTATCCTAGCCAGGCAGCGCTTGAATTGAGGGCGAAGTAAGATGACCATGTAGAGCCCAAGGATAGAATATATGCTGCATGGTGCCTTATCTTCTGTCATTGAATTCCCAGCAGTTGGAACAGTCCTGGCAGAAAATGGCAATTTGTTATAGAATTTTAATTAATTAATTGGTATGGCTGGTGAGGGGCAAGAGATGATTAGATCTGGGCCTGAATCCATGCTTCTATGGTAAGGCCTAGAACACTGCAGGCCCACTGGTGGTGGTCAAAGGAAGGATGCTAAGCAGCTCAGAACAAAATATGGAGTTGCCAGGACACGATGCTGACCACAACTCAGAACGGAGAAGCTATCCATTGTTGCCAGGTCTGTTCTCTTTGAACCTTTGCTCAACCATTTATGGATCAGCACACCCAGAAACAATCTTGTGTACTGACACAACCCAAAAAGTTAACTATTCTAATTATTTCCTTATGATCGAAAGTAATTTTTTTTTTCTCTTTGGAAAAAAAATCTGCAAATTGGTGTTTCTTTTTGAGAAGCTTTGTGATGACAAAGCTGGGAGTTACAGTATGAAGTCAGTGAAGATCACCTTCTTCCTGCTGGTCTGAGATACCGCTTCTTCAGGTCATGTTGTTTGCTCAGAGAGAGGGGACCCATTGTGGGAGTAGACTACACATCCACTGGCTTGCAAAGATGCCTCAAGAGATGAATGAAACATAAAATTTGAAAAAAGGTTCAGGGCATAATCGAGAGGATGAAGGAAAGAAAAAGCATATGAAAAGTGAAGTATGAAACAGAAGGGAAGGACAGGTGTGCTCAGTTAATTTGCTTCCTTATAACCCTTAAGAATGAATCCTTGCTCGCACCCCCAGCTGTAGGCAGTTATTGATTTGATTTCTGTCTCTATGTATTTGTCTTTTCTGGATATTCCATATGAATGTCATCATATGATACGTAGGCTGATGAGACTGGCTTATTCGCATGTCTTTGAGGTTCATCTATGTTCAATATAGAAGTACTTTGTTCCCTTAACTTTTTTTAAAAAAAATGTTAATGTTATTAAGTTTTTAATTTTAATTCCAGTATAGCTAACATACAGTGTTATATTAGTTGCAGGTGTGTAATATACTGATTCAATAATTCTGTACTCCGTGCTCATCATGGTCCCTTAACTTTTTGAGATATTCCTCTTGTGGCTGTGGACCCTGTTCATTTCAGCTTTCTTAGCCTTTATCTTGGCATGAGTCTGCGGGCTGTGTGCCGAACACCAACATATACTGGTACTTTCAGTGTCATTTTAGAGGGAAAGGAGATTGGGTTTTTGTGTTTGTTTTAATGAACTCACCTTTTCCATGTGTTCATTCTAATTGTGACTTGTTGAAGGAAATGTTTCCTTAATAGAAGAACCTTTTGAGGTCCTCCTACTCTTCAAGTATTAAATGTCATT